TGCCTCAGTGCCCGGCCGGGACCGCGGCGTCCACCCCGGCCCCCGCTATAGCCGCCGCAGCAGCCGCCACCACTTCCTACTCCTTCTCGGTTGCCTCCGGCCGTCAAGCGACGCCGGCCGTCAAGCGTCCCCGAGTCTTTTGCGACAGATGGAAAAGGAGCGGGCGGAGAAAGGAGGGGGCGGGCCGGAGAGCAGGAGGCGGAGCCACAGGGAGAGAGACAGGGGCCGCCGGACATGCGAGTGCGGGAGTCTCAGGAGGGCGGGAAGCAGCTAGTTCACTTGTAAAGAAAACGCTGAGCCAGGAAAACTGAGCACGTGTAGTAACCGTTCGCTGCTAATGGATTCAACAGCCCTAAGATTAAAAAAAACAAAACACTTTATCGTTTCTGTAAAAATGATGATCCTCACTGCAAAAAAACTTGGAACAGCAGGGAAAAGTACACAAAAAGAACAGAAAGTAGCCATTGGAAGTCAGACTTCCTAGGAAATATTTTGTTGACAACTCTTCCAGATCTGTCTGGCCGAATGTACACCATATGGGACACAAATCCATCTCGGGACTGTCCATGCCACACCAAGTCGTCTTCTTGATGTCAACCTTGAGTTTTAACTTATTAAATAACACAAGACACTAAAGTCTTGTACTTTGAAAATGCCTTTAAGTTATGAATCATCAATGCAAAAGAGAAATTTGGCTTTGTATCTTGGGAAAAAATTCAACAGGAGCACAGGGATGGACAACAGGTGATTGTTTCCATTTGGGTTTCGTGACATTCCAAAGCCAGACAGTGCCTCCCAACTGGTGGAAATTAAATGGTCACTTGAGTTGATTTCTTGTGGTCTGTGAGCAGACACAGAAGTGTTTGCCGAGGTTGAGGACCAGCACCCAGTTAGAAGGTGACTGTCCAGGTGGATCCTGTGCAGGCTTTTTTTTTTTTTTTAACTGGCACAAACCTATTTATTCGTATTATTAAAAGTGCAATAGATGGGCCGGCCCGGTGGCGCACTCGGTAGAGCACGGCACTTGGGAGCGCGGTGGCGCTCCTGCCAAGGGTTCGGATCCCATATAGAGACCGGTCCGCTCACTGGTTGAGCGCGGTACGGGCGCGACACAGAGGGTTGCGATCCCGTTACCGGTCACGAAAAAAGACAAAAAGGAAAAAAAAAAAGAAAGAAATGAAAGCTACATTAGTGAAAAAGGAACTCAGGAATGAGGTTATTAAATATAACTTAATGCATTTTAAATATAAATACCATGGGGCCGGCCCGTGGCTCACTTGGGAGAGTGCGGTGCTGATAACAGCAAGGGTTCGGATCCTATACAGGGATGGTCGGTTGGCTCACTAGCTGAGCGTGGTGCTGACAACACCAAGCCAAGCGTTAAGATCCCCTTAACCGGTCATCTTTAAAAAAAAAAAGTTGTAGCATATGCCATACTTGCATTTTACTTTTTTTACTTAAGGGAACAGCTTGGAAACTCATCATTGTCATCATTATTATTAATTATTATTATTAAGCAGCTAAGCGCTAGTGGGAGGTGAAAGCCCATCTGGCGGCACAGAGTGTGGCCATCCCACTGAGGCCATTGCTCTTCCTTGGACCAACAAAATAAATGAGTCAAAGAAGAGGGCAAAAGCGAAAAAAGCCCCTCATGGCATTGGGCAGCTGTCCCCCAGGCCAGCTCTTTCTGCACCTTCCCAGCAAAGCAGAGTCCTGCGCCTTTAACTGCCCACCAGCACGTGCAGCACGTACCGCAGTAACATCTGGGCAGCAGCTATTGCTGCTTAAAGAGACAGGCTCTCCTTTTAAATGAAGCTCGGACTGGGTCCAAATTCTTCCTATTTGGTGAAGGGAACAGGAAATAGATACCAACGGGCAGGGCAGGCTTCACCACCAGAGTGAATCGTTTCTCCCAGAGAGGCCAGCAGCCTCCAAGATTGATTCCCCCTCCTGATTTACAAGGACTCTGGGGACTTGGGCATGAAACTCCCGTTGCGCAAGGAGTTTTTTCTCTCCACTGTACATCACCATGGAGGTTCTCCTTAAACTCCAGCCAATGGGGAGTTACAGCTGGGTTCCAATGCTGCCTCCTTTACTGTGGTCCCACATCAGCTGTGTGACGTCAAGCACACTGCTTCACTTCTCTGAGCCCTGGTGTTCTTATTTCGCAAATGGAGTCAGTACTGTCTAACTCACAGGGTTGTTGTGAGCATGGGATGAGAGAGAGCGTGAAAGTTGAACCAGCCAGCCCACGCTAAATCTCCTCCCTCTGCTCATCTCTGCATTTCCTCCTCCAAAGTTCTGGAATCTGTCTGCATCCTCCTGAATCAAAAACATCCGGGGGATTTTGGCACCAAATCCGTCCCCAGCTGCAGAAAGTTCCAGCCCTGGGTCCCTGGGTAGAGAACCCAGATTCTGCTCACGTTGTCTCTTCCCTTTACTTGCCTTGTGACCTTGAGCTTGCTGCTGGATCCCTCTGAACCTCACGTCTACCATCTGTACAATGAGCAGATCTCTATACAATGAGATGATCTCAAGGTTGCCAGGGATCGTACCTGCCTTTTAAAAATAACATGTGTTGGTTTTGTTTGAATTATACAAATAGTGTATATTTTTTAAAAAATGAAAAATGTAAATAAGAAAATAAAAACTACCTGGAAATAATATTGTGTGTGTGTGTGTGTGTGTGTGTGTATAATAAAATTATCCCACGATCTAGAAATAATCACAAAAAAATGAAAAATGTAAATAAGAAAATAAAAACTACCTGGAAATAATATTGTGTGTGTGTGTGTGTGTGTGTGTGTGTGTATAATAAAATTATCCCACGATCTAGAAATAATCACTGTAAGCATTCGGCTGTAATTTTCTTCCAGCATTGTCTCTATGCATGTCTACACGGATAATAATATATTTCTACTGAGGGGGGTCGTACTGTACGTACTGGTTTTTCCACTAAACACCATAGTGGTGGTGCGTTTCCCTTGTTGAAGCCGTCGATTTCTTTTCCCAACACCTATACATGGCCTGCTCTGTGCTGTTCATTGACATCCATGACATTCCTCTTCCCCCACCCTGTGGCCCCCTACAGGGGAGCCCCGGGACTGGCACCCACTCCTCTGAAGCCCAATCTGCTGGAAGGGGACTCCTGGGATCCTGTCTGAGGTCTCTTGGAAGGAAGGGAGTGTTTTTGTCCAGAGGTGGATGACCCTAGGTGACATCTGGTCCAGGCATGTGCTCTAGAGACCCTAAAGTTGTTTGTTGGGCTCTGGGTGTCTGTGAAGAGGTCCTAAAAACTTTCACTCATTCGTGTATTCGTTTAACAATTTAACCACAGGGGGCCGGCCCGTGGCTCACTCGGGAGAGTGTGGTGCTGATAACACCAAGGCCACGGGTTCGGATCCCATAGAGGGCCGGTTAGCTCCCTGGGTGAGCATGACTTTCTTTGGCACAGAGGTTTGTCTTCCAGGGACATAAAAGCAGATGAAGTGATTCCCTTTTTGGGTGGGGGGTGCAGATGTGCTTTCTGCATTTCCGCAGCAGGGGCGTAGATGCCTGTGAACACATCCCCGCCCATCCTAACTCCTCGGGTTTGGGAAAGGGCTAATGAAATCATAAGAGCTGACTTACTGGGTGCTTGTCACGGGGGCGGTTGTGACAACATTATTAACCCGTGCAAGACCCAATTAATAGATGCTATTAGCAATCCCAGGCTCTCGGTTATTGAGACCATAAAGCCTTAGCGCAGAATCTAGGGTCTAGACATTGTGGTCTCGCTCTCCTGTCCCCTTTCTTCCTCCTGGTCGTAGTGAACCCCCTTGAGAAGGGAGGGAGGGCGGGCCTGGCGAAGGACCCAGGAGCCGCAGGGACAATCCGAGGGACCTGCCCCAACTCGGAGAGGCCTCCGTCCCGGCAGGAAAACCCTTCCCC